ACCACCTACATATATTATTTAGAACTGATTTGTGCATATTTCTGTCCTGATTCAGATGAGATAACTTTTTTTTTTTTTAACTGAAGAAAGTTTTAGCCAGAAGCTACTGTTTAAATTTAAAAACGTCTTAATGATAGATTTAAATTTAATTGATGGACTGGAGTCGTGTCAATTACTTGTGGATGATTGAGATGCTTTTATCAGCTGTTTGAACTCTCATTCCGACGGCACCCATTCACTGCAGAGGTAATGTAATGCTACATTTCTCCAGATCTGTTCCACTGAAGAAACAAACTCATCTTGCATGCCCTGGGGGTGAGTACATTATCTGCAAATTTTAATTTTTGGGTGAACTATTCCTTAAAGCGTCTGTGGGAGGAAATGCCCTTATCAGAGGTCTAAGTAATCCTGGAAATGAGGATGTGGGTTTATGCCTGGTGATCAAAGCCAGCCTTCTGCAGTGGGTGACCTCTTGGCCTTCCAGATCATTAGATACTGAGAACATCTACATTAAGTGCCCTGGACAGAAGTCATGGATATACTGGAAGACACAGTTAAGGATGCACCATTACTGAAGCCAGCATGAAACAGAAATCGTTGCATAAAATTAAATTAAAAACTAAAAACTAAAGACTAAAGACTAAAAAGAATCCTTTTAAAAGCCACAAATTAATTTAGGCATCACAACATTATATTAACAATATGAAAAATTGATGTTATTGCATTATAGTCTTCCCTCTTCAGCATCTTTTTCACACTCTATACAGTCACGAGTATCAGTAGTCTATAGCTTGACCCAGACAGCTGCCTGGTGCTGGTCTAGACAGTGATGGAAACAAGCGTCACAGCTCCCTGCGCACAGGCCTGCAGACAAACTCTGCATCGCAACATCTAAGGGCCACAGACCTGTGAAACACCACCCTCTGTTGGGTCTGCATGTGAACTACAGTTAACCTGCCAACAAATAGGATTCTGATAAAAGGGTGTTAAATTAGATATCTAAGTCACACAAGACTCTTGAAAAAGCCCATAAGTAGAAGTACTTCAAACAACCCACTCATATAAGATTGAAACTGCATTTAATCTGAAACATGCACCATCATGACTGTGCAAAAAGGCTGGCCTACTTGGAAGGGCTGCACTGTTCAAGAAGAGCATTGCACCATTTTATGGTCCATTTGAGTAAGGAAATAAATATTGTACCAATAAACATGCCTTTACACTTGCCAGGTATTTTTAAACATCACGCCCTAAATGTTTTAGACATTAAGTCTTTGTTGCACTTTTGCCCAAAAGGCCAGCTGCACTGAACCCCAGTAAGATATGAGAGTAATATAAAAACATTGTACAAAATAAAAACGTATAATTGACTGTGTGCAAAACATTTTAAGCTCAGAATAATGTAGTCTTTAATAAAAACTGGCCTAGATTAAAAATAATGGTGGATTTTGTAGAGTTTCTGACTAACTTGTTACGTATTACTGTTTGATCTTCACAGTCATAATAGATCAAAAATTACTAAGATAATATAGAGGCTGTCCCAGGTGATGGTTAAATGTCAGAAAGATTTGCTGTTTTTAGGCAGGATGTGGTGAGAAGGTCAATAAATAAGCATAACAGAATGATCATTCATAAAACAATCATCCCCGCCATTTTTTTTTATGACCAAACACTGAGGCATACCATAATGATATCCATCTCAGATGTCTTTTGTAAGGTCAATTTGGTCAATGGTGTTCAATCCATTGATACAACTTCTTTGAAAAATATTTTAAAATCTTTATATTTTTCTAATTTGCATGATTCTGATTTCTAATTTATGTTTGTTTACACATGCACTACACTAAAAGTTTGGGGTCAGTAAGATTTTTAAATGTTTTTGAAAGAAGCTCAACCAAGCTATGTTTATTTGATCACACATAGTTAATAAAACTGAATAAATTACTCCTTTTTTATTTATTCCTGTGATGGCAAGGCTGAATTTTCAGCAGCCATTACTCCAGTCTTCTCAGGGTCATGTGATCCTTCAGAAATCATATTAATTTGCTGATTTGGTGTTCAAGAAACATTTCTTATTGTTATCCATGTTGAAAGCAGTTGTGCTGCTTAATATTTGTGTGGAAACTATAATACTACTTTTTAGTATTCTTTGATGAATATAAAGTTCAATAGAACACCATTTAAGCATGGATTATTTTATCTTTTGTAACAATATGTTGTTACTGTCACAATATTTCTTTCTCAAATTTTACTGACCTCAAACTTCTGAACAGTAGAGTATATAATATTATAATAGTAATCAGTACTACATTTGAGTGAGAAAAAAATAATTTAAGTTTTTCTTCTCCCTTTTATTTTTTGACAGCACAATGGAAATACTTGTTAAAGCTGATGATTCATGTTATCCCAGAATGATTTTTAGATTATAGACATTTGAGATCTGTATGTAAAAGCAAGGAACAACAGAGCTGTGTGACTCTATTAAGAGATGTGTGCTAACGCCAAAGACAAAGCTTTCCTGAAGACTAAGCCTATACTGCCACCTAGTGGAAACTCACGTGAAATGACACACGTTGCACAAATGAAGAGAAGGGTATAACTGCAGCCTGGAGATCTCCAAATGGGGGCGGGAACTCCAAAACGGGGTGGGAGCTCCAAAATAGGGCGTGGCTTCCTCCCATTGACAGACAGGCACATGACGTGCATGCACATTTTTTCCCCCCAATCCACTTCAGTGCAAACTCCGGCCCACTTTTGGAGTTCACGCCCCATTTTGGAGATCTCTGGTCTGCAGTTATACCTACTTGGAGATGAATGCTCATTTTTAGTCAATTCCAAAAATTCTTTATTGTGCCTTAAGTCAACACAAAAACACAATTCCTTCCTGTCACTTTGTTTTAATACAGATTAACATTGTAATACAGTATTTTATACAGAAACAGTAATCAAATTCAAAATCGCTTAGAGATCAAAACATAAATTGGCTTCAACTGGCAAAAAAAAAACATCTATAAATTAACATCAAATATTAAAACCAACAAAAGTACTACTTTAAAGGGGTCATATGATGTTGCTAAAAAGAACATTATTTTGTGTATTTGGTGTAATGAAATGTGTTTATGCGGTTTAAGGTTAAAAAAACACATTATT